GGTTAACCTCGCCCACAAAAAGTATGGAAGAGGGCCCTTAGCAACCAGGTGCCGGAGCCTATGCCCCAAAACCTACACTAAAATTGCCTCTCTTTTCTCTCCTTCTGTGAAGGTGCGTATTTTATGTGCGTGTGTGAGCGCGCGCGTGTATGGGTTATAGTTAAGGCTTCAAATGTTAACGTGTCACTTTATAACTGGCCCGTTCCTGTGCTAGAAAAAGTCACACAAAATGCCTTCTACTATGAGAATAATAATAAAAGGACTCCACAAACTAAGAGCTGAACATTTATCAGCTGTACGCATATGCCGTGATTGTAGGGCTGCATTCGCTTCGTATTTGCCGGGGCCCGAATTGACCTATTGACTATTCGGGGCCGAATAGTTGCGGTAGGCCGAATACGAATATTACACCCGCTTCGTATTTGCTGGCGGGGCCGAATAGTGGACCTAATTGATCTATTCGGTTCAACTGCTCCAACATGCTGAATGAAAGAAGAAAAACAATCTAGAATACAATCTGAAAATAAAGTATATTATGCCCTTCAACATCTGCTAAAGTCAAAGTGTCTGTCTCGCAACACAAGGATCAACATATATAAAACGTCGATAAGACCAGTCGTTTTATATAGCTCTGAAACTTGAAGCAGAAATAAAAGAGTTAAAGCCTTATTACAGGTTTCCGAAAACAGTCTTACGACAAACCTTTGGACCCATCAAAGATGCTAACAGCTGGGAATGGAGAGTGAGAAGCAACAACGTAACACATAATCTGTTCAAATCACCATTGATTACTGGCATCCTGAGAGCTAACAGACTAAAATGGTTGGGGCATATTGAAAGAATGTCAGATGACAGAGAAGTAGAACTGTATACACCTGAGAGAGGAATGGGCGTAGACCACGAGGCAGACAACAACAACAAAAAGTTCGAGAGATAATGTCCAGCCAGACCTGCAAACAACTGGTGTCACAAATTGTGAAGAGAAGGCCAGCCAAAGAGATAATGGAAACGAGTGATATCTGCAGCAATAAACCTCAAGGGCTCAGAATGCTAAACAAGAAGATGTCTAATATGTGCTACTTTATTTGAAGTAAATTTTCAGCATACATTTGACATTATGAATGTGGTTTTTTTTTTTAAAGATATATTTTATAGACTATACACTATTCGTATTCGTATTCAGCCGAATAGTTGGTCCCGTTATTCGTATTCGGCCGAATAGTTAAAATCACTATTCGGTACAGCCCTAATTGTAACTGATTCACATGCCGTGATTGTAACTGACTCACATGCCGTGATTGTAACTGACTCACATGCAGTGATTGTAACTGACTCACATGCCGTGATTGTAACTGACTCACATACCGTGATTGTAACTGACTCACATACCGTGATTGTAACTGACTCACATGCCGTGATTGTAACTGACTCACATGCCGTGATTGTAACTGACTCACATGCTGTGATTGTTCGAAACTTGACGTTCGACACTCAGGGGAAAGGCGAGATGGATATAAAATCAGACAGTTACTGGTACCATCAGAATTTGAACTCTTCGACTGCTGCTGAAGACGGGGACGGAGCGCTTATGGGGGTGCCCCGAGTGCTGTGATGTCAATTCTTAATTGAACATTCAACATTTAGAGCTGAAAGTCTCACAAGAAATGTTTCTAAATACATTTGATAGTAACAGTGGTCCTGACATCTTATGCTCTGATTGTAAACGACTTCTTAACGCCAGCTGCTCTGGTCTGTCACACTCGCCTTGACCATGGGCTGTGTGGATTCCTATGACATGGCCTGTGCGGATTCTCATGCCACGGGCTGTGTGGATTCTCATGCCATGGGCTGTGTGGATTCTCATGCCATAGGCTGTGTGGATTCTTATGCCACGGGCTGTGTGGATTCTTATGCCACGGGCTGTGTGGATTCTTATGCCACGGGCTGTGTGGATTCTCATGCCATGGGCTGTGTGGATTCCCATGCCACGGGCTGTGTGGATTCTCATGCCACGGGCTGTGTGGATTCTCATGCCATGGGCTGTGTGGATTCCCATGCCACGGGCTGTGTGGATTCTCATGCCATGGGCTGTGTGGATTCTACTGCCACGGGCTGTGTGGATTCTCATGCCACGGGCTGAGTAGGTTCCCATGCCACGGGCTGTGTGGATTCCCATGCCACGGGCTGTGTGGTTTCCCATTATTTCCAAAAGCTCGGTACACTGAGCTATCATTCAAGAAAGACAGAAAGGCAGCAACTAACCACCGACTTACCTTAGTCATCTGATTGTCTGCAGGCCGCAACACAGAAGAAATGAAACCAGTCACTTCAGTTCTTCACTTACTCCCGCCAACATACTTGTATCATCGTCACTTTCATCGAAGCGATTATCTTTCCTGGAATCGTCATCGCCACAAACCGGAAGAGCAATGTCCGAGCGAGAGGTCAGCAGACGTGGCCAGGTACCTGTAAGTAACACCAGCTGAAAAAAAAATTTAATTAATTTGTCATTTGGGGAAATTAGAGACTACGTGATCCTTATTGAAATATTGTAAACTATTCTTTTCTTAGCGTTCACCAACTATAAACTCCGGTCGAAAGCTCTGATTGTTCGTCCATTTCTGGATTTGTATTTTCTTCCAGAGCGTGAGCTTTGAGTGCGCATTTGTTCTGGTGTATTTGCATGCAGACTGTTGGTTTTTTTGCTCTCAGGCAGATGTACTTTGAATTCGAAAAAGGCACATCTAATTAGTCTGGTTGTACGACATGTTTATGAGAAGGCTGTGAGTTTATTTCCCTAAAATGTGGCTTCAAAACACAAACGGGGAACTGTTAAATGAAAACCTACCGTATACGAGAGCGACCTCTCCCTACACACAATCATGTCAATAATGCACAAAACGATGTTCTAGTGTGCTAAAATTTCTGGATACATCCATGCCCTGGCAGGTTTTGTCTCTGTCTTCTCAATGATGTGGGGAAGGGGGAGGGTCCTCAAGGTGTCCAAGCCTCAAAGTTCCGATGCCCGTGCTGTATTGTATATCATAGATAGGACCATGTCCTAGCTACAACCATGTCTAGCGGTGATGCTGTATTGTATATCATAGATAGGACCATGTCCTAGCTACAACCATGTCTCCAGTTCCAGAAATGAAGAAACCGATACTGACCACCTATATCAGGACCGATCAACTTTTACATCCAGGTCATTGACAATGTTCAGCCCCTATGATGGTATCAATGTCTTTTCGAAAGGAGAGTTCCATGTTGATTGCTTGATTGGTTGGTTTTCAGAAATCGACATGTGAGCATGAATTCACGATTGTAACATCTTGCTGTTAATGGGCCCAATAGCAATTAGTCCGTTCAATCCCTGTAACACAGAAGTGTGAATGCCTGATAGCTCTTCATCCTATCTTTGTCCATTTGGAATCTTGAGCAAATAATAATTTAATATTAGACAATTTGATTGCTCCAGTAACTGTGTGTCCAGAAATCCTCCTGACAACTATGTTCTGTGTTCCCAGATTGTTCAACATGGCACAGGAGGCAGCTCTCTAGCTCTACAAGGTGAGGGGTCCCCAGTGGAGTCCGTCAGTGTCGTAACAATAATGCGATTCACCTACTAGTGGTGATAAAAGTCGTGTTCATGTTGTTGATGACGGTGATGAAAGTCGTGTTCATATTGTTGATGGTGGTGATGAAAGTCGTGTTCATGTTGTTGATGACGGTGATGAAAGTCATGTTCATGTTGTTGATGACGGTGATGAAAGTCGTGTTCATGTTGTTGATGGTGGTGATGATAGTCGTGTTCATATTGTTGATGGTGGTGATAAAAGTCGTGTTCATGTTGTTAATGACGGTGATGATAGTCGTGTTCATATTGTTGATGGTGGTGATAAAAGTCGTGTTCATGTTGTTAATGACGGTGATGAAAGTCGTGTTCACGTTGTTGATGACGGTGATGATAGTCGTGTTCATGTTGTTGATGGTGGTGATGAAAGTCGTGTTCATGTTGTTGATGACGGTGATGAAAGTCGTGTTCATGTTGTTGATGGTGGTGATGATAGTCGTGTTCATGTTGTTGATGACGGTGATGAAAGTCGTGTTCATGTTGTTGATGGTGGTGATAAAAGTCGTGTTCATGTTGTTAATGACGGTGATGATAGTCGTGTTCATATTGTTGATGGTGGTGATAAAAGTCGTGTTCATGTTGTTAATGACGGTGATGAAAGTCGTGTTCATGTTGTTGATGGTGGTGATGAAAGTCGTGTTCACGTTGTTGATGACGGTGATGAAAGTCGTGTTCATGTTGTTGATGGTGGTGATGATAGTCGTGTTCATGTTGTTGATGACGGTGATGAAAGTCGTGTTCATGTTGTTGATGACGGTGATGAAAGTCGTGTTCATGTTGTTGATGGTGGTGATGAAAGTCGTGTTCACGTTGTTGATGACGGTGATGAAAGTCGTGTTCATGTTGTTGATGGTGGTGATGAAAGTCGTGTTCATGTTGTTGATGACGGTGATGAAAGTAGTGTTCATATTGTTGATGACGGTGATGAAAGTCGTGTTCATGTTGTTGATGGTGGTGATGAAAGTCGTGTTCATGTTGTTGATGGTGGTGATGATAGTCGTGTTCATGTTGTTGATGACGGTGATAAAAGTCGTGTTCATGTTGTTAATGACGGTGATGAAAGTCGTGTTCACGTTGTTGATGACGGTGATGAAAGTCGTGTTCATGTTGTTGATGGTGGTGATGAAAGTCGTGTTCACGTTGTTGATGACGGTGATGAAAGTCGTGTTCATGTTGTTGATGGTGGTGATGATAGTCGTGTTCATGTTGTTAATGACGGTGATGAAAGTCGTGTTCATGTTGTTGATGGTGGTGATGAAAGTCGTGTTCATGTTGTTAATGACGGTGATGAAAGTCGTGTTCATGTTGTTGATGACGGTGATGAAAGTCGTGTTCATGTTGTTGATGGTGGTGATAATAGTCGTGTTCATGTTGTTGATGGTGGTGATAATAGTCGTGTTCATGTTGTTGATGGTGGTGATAATAGTCGTGTTCATGTTGTTGATGGTGCTGATGATAGTCGTGTTCATGTTGTTGATGACGGTGATGATAGTCGTGTTCATGTTGTTGATGGTGGTGATGATAGTCGTGTTCATGTTGTTGATGACGGTGATGATAGTCGTGTTCATGTTGTTGATGGTGGTGATGAAAGTCGTGTTCATGTTGTTGATGGTGGTGATGATAGTCGTGTTCATGTTGTTGATGGTGGTGATGATAGTCGTGTTCATGTTGTTGATGGTGGTGATGATAGTCGTGTTCATGTTGTTGATGACGGTGATGATAGTCGTGTTCATGTTGTTGATGGTGGTGATGATAGTCGTGTTCATGTTGTTGATGGTGGTGATGATAGTCGTGTTCATGTTGTTGATGGTGGTGATGATAGTCGTGTTCATGTTGTTGATGACGGTGATGATAGTCGTGTTCATGTTGTTGATGGTGGTGATGAAAGTCGTGTTCATGTTGTTGATGGTGGTGATGATAGTCGTGTTCATGTTGTTGATGGTGGTGATGATAGTCGTGTTCATGTTGTTGATGGTGGTGATGAAAGTCGTGTTCATGTTGTTGATGGTGGTGATGATAGTCGTGTTCATGTTGTTGATGGTGGTGATGAAAGTCGTGTTCACGTTGTTGATGGTGGTGATGATAGTCGTGTTCATGTTGTTGATGACGGTGATGATAGTCGTGTTCATGTTGTTGATGGTGGTGATGATAGTCGTGTTCATGTTGTTGATGGTGGTGATGAAAGTCGTGTTCATGTTGTTGATGGTGGTGATGAAAGTCGTGTTCATGTTGTTGATGACGGTGATGATAGTCGTGTTCATGTTGTTGATGGTGGTGATGATAGTCGTGTTCATGTTGTTGATGGTGGTGATGATAGTCGTGTTCATGTTGTTGATGGTGGTGATGAAAGTCGTGTTCACGTTGTTGATGGTGGTGATGATAGTCGTGTTCATGTTGTTGATGGTGGTGATGATAGTCGTGTTCATGTTGTTGATGACGGTGATGATAGTTGTGACAACAGTAATGATGACTATAATGATAATGGTGGTAATGATTATGACGATGATGATAATAAAAAGCATTATAATAAGTATTCAAATAATAACAATTTTAACAGTTCGTCCAAACAATCACCTGATGGACAGACAGACAGACAGACAGACAGACAGACAGACAGACAGACAGACAGACAGACAGACAGACAGACAGACAGACAGACAGACAGACAGACAGACAGACAGACAGACAGACAGACAGACAGACAGACAGACAGACAGACAGACAGACAGACAGACAGACAGACAGACAGACAGACAGACAGACAGACAGACAGACAGACAGACAGACAGACGACCAAAAAGATAATATGGAATAAACTCCAATATTATCAATACAATCTCAGTTCACTTCCCAGTTTTCCCAAGGTTACAGGAAGCAGTTTTCCCAAGGTTACAGGAAGCAGAAGAACAATGATTGTGTAGCCGGCTCTATGCTGCAGGTGTCCACACAGGGACCCAACAACAACTAATGAGCACCAAATCATAACAGATATGAAAAGTCTGTTGGAGCTGTCGGCGTAACCAGAAAAGATTCATTTAAAAGAGGAAATCAGAAAGAGATTAGGACTGAGGTCAGTCATACGGTTTATTAAAAAGCAACAGATAAGATGGTTCGGTCATCTGCCAAGAATGCCCTTGTACCATGTGCCACAGACAGCTACGCTGAAGACATATAAAGGACTGAGCAAGGAGAAATGAGGAGGAGGGAGGAGAAGAGGAGGAGGAGGAGGAGGACAGCAGCAGCAGAAGAAGGAGGAGGAGGACAGCAGCAGCGGAAGAAGAAGGAGGAGGAGGAGGACAGCAGCAGCAGAGAAAGAAGGAGGAGGAGGAGGACAGCAGCAGCAGAAGAAGAAGAAGGAGGAGGAGGAGGACAGCAGCAGCAGAAGAAGAAGGAGGAGGAGGACAGCAGCAGCAGAAGAAGAAGAAGGAGGAGGAGGAGGAGGAGGAGGAGGAGGACAGTAGCAGCAGAAGAAGAAGAAGAAGAAGAAGGAGGACAGCAGCAGCAGAAGAAGGAGGAGGAGGAGGAGGACAGCAGCAGCAGAAGAAGAAGAACAAGAAGGAGGACAGCAGCAGCAGAAGAAGAAGAAGAAGGAGGAGGAGGAGGAGGACAGCAGCAGCAGAAGAAGGAGGAGGAGGAGGAGGACAGCAGCAGCAGAAGAAGAAGGAGGAGGAGGAGGACAGCAGCAGCAGAAGAAGAAGAAGGAGGAGGACAGCAGCAGCAGAAGAAGAAGAAGAAGGAGGAGGACGATGAGGAGGAGGACAGCAGCAGCAGAAGAAGAAGGAGGAGGAGGAGGACAGCAGCAGCAGAAGAAGAAGAAGAAGGAGGAGGAGGAGGAGGAAAGCAGCAGTAGAAGAAGAAGAAGGAGG